CCAAGCTTTAAGCTACAAAGAATTGGGGGAGGGGTTTTACTTAACTATTAACAGTGCTGTATGAGCAGAGGGATTTCTGTGGCATTGCACCTTAAAGTTTAGAGGACTAACTTTCTAGTGAAAGATGCTGACAAAGCTTTTTGCTTTTTATAAATGATTTAGGGTCTAAGAGCAAGATGTTCACTGTACATAGTTCAGCTGCTGATGGTTTAATGTAGGCCATGGAAAATCTTCCCACCCTTAAAAACCACCACTTCTCACTGAAAGTAGAGTGACTATTTAATTTTTTGAAATCTCTTACTCATGATTTCATCTTCTAAAGCTGTTCAGTAAAATATAGGTATGCTTTGGTTTGTTTGGCCACCTATGGAAAAAGGCAGCTTTCTTGTTAAACCTAAGATTCAAGTATTTTATATTTTATCAGTAAATGCTCAAGGGGAGGCAGTTTAGGAGCTTATAGAAGCCACAGCTGTGGAATAGGTTTCCCAAGTCTTTACAATTTGAATGGGAGTCAGTTAAAGGAGCCATATTTTTAGTTCTCTATTTCTCCTTAGGTGTTGGATGGCTTACAAGGAGATTAATGGCCTTGACAAGTAAGACTTCACCACGCTCTCCTGAAACGTTGTTTGTAATGTCTGCCGTAACTAACTAAAAAGGTTGCCACTTGTCTCTTAGCTGCTATATAAGTCCAATGATTTTTCTCAGTCCTCATTTAGACCTTGGCTTTCGACATGTGACCACCACTTCCTAGATGTGACACTGCTCTTGATGCTTGTCTTGGTTCCTTCTGTTTGTTTGGTTAAGGTATACTGGCTGACACACGTATTTTGCTTAAAAACCTTTGGCTCATGTGATCCACATTTGGAATTTCTCACCTTTGCCTTGTAGGAGGATCCCTTGGCTTCCTAATAAGCACAGCTCAGGTGCCAGTTAAGGTTTTCCCTGAATGAACCTTCTGGGGCCTTTTATTAGCTCTTAGTAAAAATCTGTTGAACGAGACCTCAGAAGCCTTAATTAGGACTCGATCTAAATTTCTTCAGACGTTAAGCCAATGATTAACCTTGTCTTGAAGAACCCTCCAGTAAGGGGAGAGCTCAAATACATCCATTGCAGCCTGTTAGTTTTGGACAGCTAATATATGTTAGGAAGTAATCCCTAACTCAAACCTAAAGTGCTTTTTATTCTGCAACTTTCACCCATTGGTTCTGTTATTTGGTGCCAAAGAAAGCCCATTAGCTTCTCTGAGGGGAGCCCTTGTCTATGTAGTATTTGTAGACTTCTGAAATGCTTCTTTCCCCACTTCCAGTGCTGTCTAAGCTAAACATCTATAGATCCCCACTTTCCCCTAGTCCACATGTAGTATGAACACAAGGTCCTCTTGCTTGCCCTTTGCATACTAGTTTATCCGTGATTTTCCTAAAGTGAATCTCACAGAACTGAACACAATTTTAGGTTGGAGTTAATTAGGACTAAGTATTGATATTACCACCTCCCTAGTCCTGCATATCATTTATCTCAACACAGCTGAGAAGTAGTATTGCTTTTCTTCATTTCATTCTTAGGGCTTCAATTATCTATGCAGATGACTCAAATCTATTAAGATATTCCCTCCCCCCAAAATCCACTAACCAATTTTTGTTGATAGCACCACTATCTTTAATAATCATCCAGATTTAAAACAAGTCAGCTCTTGACTCTCTTCTCAAAACTAATCACTCCCTGCTCCCCCCCCCCAATGCCAAGTTATGTTGCTCCTCTTATTCTCTACCTGGCCTTCCTGGGCTGTGAAGTGAAGAGGCTGTTCTATCAAAGGGTTTTTACCATCCCATCCTTAAACGTATTGACATCTTCCACAGAACAAGGCACCAAATATTCCTAAAACATCTTGACCGTGTCACCCCCCAGTAAGAGACTTAAATGGTGCTGAACTGCCTCCAGAATAAAAAGGCAAACACAGGTCAGCACTTTAAAGCCCTTGGCTGTTCCGACACGTGAACCCGGCTGCTTGGGCTTCTGCACACAGGCAGGTAGACTCCATGACTTTACAGGGAAATAAAGGTGCTGTCTGAAGTTCTTGATTTTCATCCTCTTCACTTGTTAGCATGCTCCCTTTTTAAATTTACTTGTAGATACCTGTATACTTATTTCATTTACTTATCTTTATTAGTGTATCCTTCCCTGAAGAGCACAATCTCCTCCTCAAAGGCAGGGATTTTTCTGTAGGTGCCCTCTGAATGCTAATGCTTTGCATATGTTGCTGCTGTTTTTCAGTCCTTTCATGTCTGACCTGACTCCATTTGGGGTTTTCTTGGCAAAGATACTGGAATAGTTTACCATTTTCCTTACCAGCTAATTTTACACATGAGGAAACTGAGGCAAACAGGGTTAAAAGACTTGCTCAGGGCCACACAGCTAACTTTCTGAGGCCAGATTTGAACTAAGGTCTTTCTGACTCCAGGCCCGCTGCTCTAGCCACTTCCCCTACCTGCTTCTTTGCATATTTTAGGTGCTAATAAAAGTTGAAATGAATTAAACCCAATCTGCTGTCCCCAGCCCAGCATCCAAAGTTTAATTCAATAGACACTAAGGTTTTCTATTGTGCTAGCCAGAAGAAATATTAAGGTGAAATAAAGCTATTGCCACTTAATTGCCTTTGCAACATCCCCCATTCCATGACCATCTCCCATTAGTCTGCTCAAAACTCAAATCTTTCAGCAATTTGTTTTCAGATTATCCCCATCCAATTCTTTAGTTTACATACCATTATGCATGTATTATATGTTCAATTTTTTTTAATACTTGGCACTTTATTAATATTTTGTAAAAAATTCTCAAGTCTCCTAAATAGATATTGTTCCTAAGGGAGGGCTATTTTCCCCTTTCCTATTTGGTAGGAAGATTTCTATTGACTGGTAGATCCAGACCCCAGGCTCTTCTTTCCCTCCTGCCCTGTTGGAATACTGCTGAATGGGGGCAGCTAGGTGGCGCAGTGGATAGAGCACCAGCCCTGAAGTCAGGAGGACCCGAGTTCAAATGTGACCTCAGACCAAACACTTGACACTTACTAGCTGTGTGACCCTGGGCAAGTCACTGAACCCCAATTGCCTAAAAACATAATAAATAAATAAATAAATAAATGAATAGTGCTGAATGTTCCGAAGGAGGTCCAGCTTCCAGAGTGCCCTCCAGGAATGGATGGGATCAGCTGAAAATTTCTGCTGGTTTCTCTCAGGTGCACATGGAGGCAGGAAGAAATGAGAAGGAAAGCTTGTGACTCAAGTTTGGGTCACTGGAGAAATTCATGGTTTCAGTGACAGACCAGAAGAGCATCAGCTAGGGATGAGTTCAATCTCAGACAATTTTGAGTTTGAGGCGCCAGGTGGATGTGTCTAGTCAACAACTGGCAGTGACAACTAGCTAACAAATTCTGGTAGAGGCGCAGATTTTGAGAGGCAACTATCAGCGTAGATTTTGATAAACTGAAGCTCCTGGGAACCTTTAGAGATCAAGGATCGAGCCTGGAGCTAGAACCAAGGAAGAGTTAGAAGGAAGAAATCCAGGCCAGTGTGACACCACAACAGCCAGAGGAAAGGGCCAGCAGTGATGTCGAGGAGGAAGACGACAGAAGAAAACTGGATCTGACATGTCGGAGGTTACTGGTGACTTTATAGAGAGCAGTTTTCATTAGAATGGCAAAGACAAGCCAGGCAACAGCTAAGGAATGAGTGGATGGCGAGGAAGCAGCAGCAGCAGCAAACAGGTTCAGGTATTGTTTTAAGTTTCTATCCTAGACTCTAGCTTAGTCATTCCCTTTAAATTCTCATTTTTGGTTAGATCTGGTCCTATAAATTCATGTCCTATAACCCTGCTCATCAACATGCCTATTTGATTTTCTTGACTTAGTGGCAGGAAGCAGTGGTCAGTTTTGAACAGCACTGTAGTGGGCACAGTGGAAGCCTGACCTTCGCACAGCTTCTCCTTCTGAAGTCTTGATAAACAAGTGAGCTTGGCTGTCCTACTTCAGTGAGTAACTTTGGAGGTTCAGTATACTCTACCCCAAAGGCTTACTACAGCAAGCCTCTATAACCTGTCCCTCAATCCCAAACAGGAAAGAGGAGAAATAATACTTGAGGGAGTAAAGGAATTCAGTCCTTTGTTTTTGTTCAGAAGGGCCGATCAACATTTTGTCAAGCCAAAAAATATTCTGTAGCTTTTAAAATACATATTTTTGACATTTATCACCATTGTATTCCTCTTTTATGAGGCTGGATTAAAATCCTTGACCTCATTCATGGATACTTGGTACCGTGTTAATAAAATTTAGAAGTAGCATTTGAACTGCCCAAAGCTCAGGTGGACAGTGGCTAGAGTGCCAGGCCTGGAGTCAGGACCAGAGTTCAAATCTAGTCTCAAATACTTAACTAGCTGTGTGAACCTAAGCAAGTCACTTAACCCTGTCTGCCTCAATTTCCTCATCTGTCAGGTGAGCTTGAAAAGGGAATAGCAAACCACTCCAATATCCTTGCCAAGAAAATATGACTCAAAGTAAAGAACAACAACTGGTTGTAGCTTAAGGAAAGGAAATTTGCATGTTAAATCCTTAACTAGGCAAGGCACTGAATGAGGTTTAGCTTTAGGTCTTTAGTTCCTGGTAGCTCATCTAAACGGCCATGCTTTCAACTCAACTGTCAATAACCCAAGTGCTGCTGTTCCTTGTCCTGTCTTCCCAAAGTGATTAGAACTAATGGGGAAAGAAAGCACTTAATCAGAGGGACTAAAAGTGCTTCCAGTTATGGGGTTTTGGTCATTCTACATATACAAGATGGAGCCAAGGGTTGGGCACCCTTGGAAAAGAAAAGGGGCTTCGTGAGAAGCTCAATGGCCTGGAGATCGGCAGTCTGGCCTACTCAGGGGACCTTGTTTGAATAAATTGCTTCCCTTCTTTAAGCCTCAGTTTTTTTCCTCTACAAATAGTAGTTTCCATGTGTGCGCGCTTGAACCACAGATCAAAAGCTTTTATTGTATCCTATGGACACGAGAAGCAAACCTTGATGTTTATTTTAGCTCAAAGGGAGGAAATCCATTTTCCTGGAGACACATGAATCAGAAAAGACTTCAAAGATGAAAAAAAATCTGTAGCTGTACACACCCACAGTCCCAAATAATGTTGATTATTTTACAAGTGAAAAATTACAGTAGCAAAATCTTGAGATTCATTGTGCAGAAAAACAACCATTCTGAAGAGGACCAAAGTCAAGAGAGCAAAGAAGAAATAGGAAATTTTAAACAGAGAAAAAAAATCTAGACCATAAAAAAAGCATACCTCAATATTTCGGCACATTGAAGAACAATTAAAGTACATTAAAATAGATGAAGCCCTGTTTATGAACCTTTTTTTCTTCTTTGCTCTCACAAACCCCCCGTACAATTAGTAACATACAGATTGCATTAACAGTAAGGACAAACAGGATCTGGTTACTGTTCTAAGGCCTTCCTTTGCTCTTTTCCTGAATGACAAATAGTTAAATTGCCAGGAACGTTTCTTTAGAATGATTAGAAATACTGCAAAATTCACATTCCCAATCTTGTTCGGAGGCAGAAATTCATTTGCTCTGCAGCTAACTTACAGCCTTTTTAGCTTTCATGACCCCTACGAAGAACTGGATGAATATCTCTGAAGGAGGAGGGTGTGGCAGGCATCACACACACGTACAGGCCTTGGGTAGGATGGCAGTGCGAGTTCGTTGCTTGAACATGTGTTACAAAAAATGTGTCCACAGTTCCGACAGTGATGCTAGAACATGGTTAACAAAAACAAAACAAAAAGGCAGTAACAAGGCAGGTGGGTTTTTATTATATAAACAGATACTTTCCAAAGTACTTTAAATGCAATATCCATTCCATCACTCCAGCTCATGACCACTGACCCTAGTCTTTACAAAAGCAAGACTTTGGAATCTTTCAACAGTTTTGCTTTGGGGTGAGAACAGAAATCAAAGGCTCTACAAAGGTCTTAGGGGTTTGGTGCCTATAACTCCTCAATGTTCATTGCTCACAAACTCCCTGGGACACAGTCCTGCTGACCAAGAGTATGCTCCTTAATGCAAAGAAACAGGAATTGAAATTAGGGTCTTCAGAAGGGATTGTGCTTTTTCCCGAGATTTTGTGGTGGGGCTCAATGAAACCAATGGCATCTTTTAGCCAACAAGGAGTTTGAAGAAGGTAAGTCTCTTTCTCTTTTCTGCCAGTCCACCTTATAAGGCACCTACCTGCCTTTAGTTTTGCCTGGGAAGTTAGCCTTGAGCCCATAGGTACTCAATGATGACTTTTGTCTGGGTAAAAACCTGGATTTCACTTTAGTAACATTTTTGTTATTTCAAGGTTATTGCAAGCAAAACAATTATCTGCAAACATACTGAGTGGAGTACAAAGTGGTGGCCCCTGCAATGCAGGAGCTGAGTTATCTGGGTATGATAGTATTTTCAACCTGATCAGGGCAAGGTGATGAAGTGGGTACAGTGCAGTGGTTCTAATCAGTCAGGTAGCAGGAGTGTTCTCTTACTTTTAACATACTTACCTTTTAGACCAGGTTTAGAGGAGAGCATACATTTATTTCTCAAAACTTAGAAAACAGACAAGAAAAACACTCAATCAAGGCCTGAGCCTCAGAATGGTAGGCCCTTACCTTCCTCCGGGAGATGGAGAACTCTTTCTCACACTGTTTGCAGTATGTTGCTTCATCATCTTTTAGCCAGGTGTGACCCTAAGGAGAAAAAAAGCCCTAAGAATTGCATTTTTCATCTGTAGAAAGAAGACAAATGAAGACTCAAGAATGGCTAGAAATACCAGTGACACACCTCAGCAGTGGCATCTCATCCTACATCAGGTAAGAGGAGTTTAAATACAAGGAAATTCCCCCCAAATCTGAAGCTAACTTAAACAACTGAAATTTTTAGAATTTTAAATGTTTTGAGTAATTTTTTTTTCTTTTTTTTTGGGTGAGGCAATGTGGTTAAGTGACTTGCCCCAAGGTCACGCAGCTAGTAAGTGTCAAGTGTCTGAGGTCGCATTTGAACTCAGGTCCTCCTGACTCCAAGGCCAGGGCTCTATCCACTGGGCCACCTAGCTGCCCCTTGAGTAATTTTTTAAAAAGGTTTGTGAGTAGAAGGAGGAGGAGTAGAAGGAGCACTGGGTTTGGAGTCAGAAAACATGGGTCGCACTTTTCTGGCTTTGCTGCCTGTGTGACACTGGGGCTCAGTCCCATCTATCTGTAAAATGAGGAAGCTGGCTTAGATGACCTCTGATATTTCTCACAGTTTGAGTATGTAACCTTACGAAAGGCATTATTCTTCCTGTGCAATAAAACCAGCGTACATGCGGCAAATTATGTAAGCTAGTGGTCACCAAGTCTTGACATTTCTTCTCCCATCATCTACATTCTCACATTTCTTCCCTCTTTTCCAGGCCCACTACCCATACTCTTATTCAGGACCGCATCATTGTTTGCCTGGATTACTCTCACAATAGCCCCTTAACCAGTCTCTCTGCTTCTAGTTTATTCTCTTTCCAATACATCCTACCCTCCCCTGCCACAGTAATCTTACTAATGAATCGCTGTTCACGTTACTCCCCTAATCAAAGGCCTTCAATCGTTTCTTCGCCATTTACTGGATAAAGTTCAAACTCAATAGCCTGGCATTTAAGACTCCATACTCCGGCCCATCTACCTTTCTAGCTTTCTCCCTCACTTTCTTTCTGTCACATACTTCATGCTCTAACCAAGATGGATTGCCAGTCATTCCTCAAACATGCCTTTTCTGTGCCCTCTACCTGGAATCTGCTTCCTTTACAACTCATCAAAATTCTGTCCAAGTCCAGCTCAAATACCATATCTTCCATAAAGCCTTTCCCTATTAGAGATGGGGAACCTGTGGCCTCGAGACCACAAGGGGCCTTCTAGGTCCTTGGGTGCAGCCTTCTGACTGAGTCCAAGTTTTATAGAACAAATCCTTTTATTAAGGGGATTTATTCTGTGATGTTAGGGCCTAACTACTGTGACTCCTACGATCTGAGGATGAGTGAGAGGATTAGGTACAGAAATGTTTACTTTGAATGTCAATTATATTGAGAGTTTCTGAGGAAAATCACAAAGGACTGACTATAGTTCACCTAAAATACTCAAATACCTCTTGGTTATTCAAAATCCAGTACCTTTAGTGCCTTATTGACCTCTTTTATATCTTCCATCTTCAGCTTTGATCTGAAAAGAAAGTGTTTAATGGCAATAAGGACAGTTCTGACAGGAGGGAAAAAAGCATCAATTATCATGTTTATTGAAATACAGAAAAAAGTTTTTGTGAAAATAAAATGTTTTGGAATTACCTTTTCCCTCTTTTTTTTTTTTTTGGTCCAGAGACTCCACCGTTCTCCTCTTTGTTTATGTATTTGTCTAGGTATGTTTTTTCTCAAATTTAATTTCTGAGAGGTGATTTTAATCTATTTCTACTCCTACTTGGTTAGGATTAGTCTGAACACTTAAGAATACACATCTTCCAATTACCACAAAGATTAGAATGAAAAGTATCACATTACAGGCATAGTCGTGGAGAATTACTGTGGAAAAAGGAAACTAAAATAAGCTATACATACATCAGTGCTCTGAGACGGCATCAAGAAAACTGGGTCAAAATGACAGTTTTATATACTAGGCCACGTCATGAAGAGTGTGTACCATAGAAACTTATCCTGACACAGAAACATAGTAAAAGCTGGAGGAAATAAATGTGGCTCTTTTCGCTCCTTTCCTTGTCTTTGCTGGCTAAAAGAGAGTAGGAATTTCTGTCTTTCAGTTACAGGACAGAAGAGGAAGACCAAAAGGAGAGCAGGGAAAGATGGATATTCTAGCATGAAGGTCTAAACGATGCTTAGGATAGCGAACTTCAACAAAAGGCTTTAAAAAGGTGATATTTTAATTAGGCTGAAGGACCCACAGCAGCCAAGGTGCCTTGTCCAAGATCACAATGATTAAGGAGCTCATCTACGGATTTTGAAACTACATCTGGAGCTAGCCCTTTGCATATACACATGAAGACTAAACTAAATCCACATTGGAAATCATACTTTTAAGAGCAAAGCCAGAGAATTGCTCAAATTTCTGCAGTCTATATTTCCCCCCCCCCCCCCGCTTTTTTGGTGAGGCAATCAAGGTTAAGTGACTTGCCCAGGGTCACACAGCTAGCAAGTGTCAAGTGTCTGAGGCTGGATTTGAACTCAGGTCCTCCTGACTCCAAGGCCAGAGCTCTATCTACTTTGCCACTTAGCTGCCCCCAAAGTCTATAGTTTTGAGTGAAATCAAACTTCTAAAAACATTTTCCTTTTTTAATCAATGTCGAGCCTGAGTAGGGCAGCACAACAAAATAAAATGCAAAAACGAATGCCCATATTGAACAGGAAGAATTGCACTGTCTAATTGTTTTTGGTAAAATGTGTAGAAAAAATGGAGGAATCTTCTGGCTCAATCCTATACACTTTGAAAGCTGCTGCACCAAAGAATACTTCAGAGACCCAACTCTTTTGTGATTCAATAGCCCATCATATTAATGAAAATGGAACATATTCTTAATATAAGAGCATAAGAAAAGCCATACTAGGTCAGTCCATGGTATTCTGTTCCTGATGGAAGTTCCAAGGGACTTGGAAATTCAGGACTGTGCCTAAATGAGGTTGAAGGTGGTGGGATGTGTATTGAAACATCTTTGTTTCCCTTGGTAACCCAATGACAGCTTTGCAATCTAAGATCTCATCTAAATTTTTTTTTAGAAAATCCAAATATAAGAACCTGTACCATAACCTCATAAGAATAATGAGGTCCAAAAATTTATTATACTTTATGAGAAACAGAACATTTTTGGTTAGACATATTTTGTCAAATTTGAAGGAATACCCTCGTATAGCATTTGGTGCACTCTAGCCACACCATTTATATTTATAGGCTGAAAAGTTTTAATCTTTTAAAAGTCTGTTTTATGCAGCAATGTTCAGGTTAGCTGCTTATATCTGGACCTCTTTAGTTTCATCACATTTTTCTTGAGGTAGCCAAAGGGTAATAAAGGGGCAGAGAGATCCAGATGGAAAGAAACTTTTAACCTGCTCTGAAGAAAACCACTGTGTGATTGTCCCAGGTACACTTGCTTATAGACTAAAGAACATCTGAAAGAGAAGGGTGTAAAGGGTAAAAGGAGATGGAGAGGTAAATACGAGGGGGATGGCTGGTGAATGGGATTTTAGTGCTGAATGGGAGTTCTGATCGGACTCAATGAAAAAGTTCTGTTTGTCCTCATTATGTTGAAAGGGGAACTTACTGGCTGAGGTGCAGTCCCATTTCCTGCAGGGCTTGTTCCTGTTCTTCACAAATCTTCTGTAATTCTTCTTTCTTCTCATAGAGTTTCTGAAGTTCCTATAAACAACAAACCAAATATTTTATAAACAATCATATTTTTTTAAGGATAATTGCAACAGCAACATTCTCCTAATTTACAACCAGGGCCAGGAAATTTCCCTGAAGCCACAAGAGTGAATTGATACCAGGACTAATTGATGGGATTATTTATAGGATTTATTTATTTGGATGACTCACCTACTGCTCTTTGCCACAACAATGACTTTATCCAAACAGTAACTGGAGAAGCTGTTTAGGAATGAGACTCTAATCTTCTACAGATAAAAACCAGCTACACTTGTCAGCTCTATCTCATCTCTGAATACTATTGTGTTGTAAGAAATGATGATGGGGATGGCTTCAGAAAAACCTAGGAAGACTTATATGAGCTGATGCAAAGTGAAGTGAGCAGAGCTAGAACACTGTTAGTAATATTACTATCACTATGTACAATCAACTAGAAAGAATTAGCTACTCTGATCAATACAATGGTCCATGCAAATTTCAAAGGACTCATAAAAAAATGCTGTCTACTTCTACAGAGGGAACTGATGCATTCTGAGTGGAGACCAAAGTACATTTTTTCACTTTATTTTTCTTTTTGTTTGCAACACAGCTAATGTGAAAATTTATTTTGCGTGACTTCATAATGGTACTGTATTTCTTGTCTTCTTAATGGGTAGAGGGGAGGGAGACAAATTTGGAAATGAAAATAAAAACAAAAACAACTCCCCACCCCCCCAAAAAACCAAAACCAAAAAAGATATATATATATATCCCCATCTTAGTGAGGATCTGTCTTGTGGTCAAGCCCTCAAATATTACTTATATATGGTGAGCAAAATAGTGGATTTTTAAATTTTTATTTTTTGAAATATCCCTTTTAGAAAAATAATTTTAAAAATCCAGATATAAACACTTAGATTTTCCTTCCTAGGAAATACAAGATTAAAAGCTAACATGAATAAATACTTTTCTTGTCAGAAGTAGGCTATTTGTGAACAGCTCCTCAATTAGCTGACTCTTGTGAAAGAATTGTCAACATTTTTGAACAATAAAAAACCTATTTCTAAGACCTATTTATGGCACCAGGAGATATGATATACTTAGTCAGGGATGAGGAACCTGTGGCCTTGAGACCACATGTGGTTGCTGGTATAGATATTCCAAATAATATCTGAGACTCTAAATTCATTAATAAGTTACTGGAGATAGAGAAAAATAAATCAGTAAAAATGAAAATGTAATTAATCACCTGAGAGGATAGTGAATTTTCAGAATTTAGAAATATGAAAAGGATTTGAACAGGGGCTTTATCCTAATATTGGAAAAGGAAGTGGACTTGTAGAAAGTGATAACATTCTATGTGACCTCTCTGAGGATTAGGGCAAACTACTGAGTTGAGCTGGTTGCTTGTAGTTTTCTCTCTGGGTGAGTCTGACCCCGAACTTAGCCAAACAAAAATTAGGAGGCCCTTTTACTACAATTAAATGAGAAAGCCATGGTTTCTAATGAATCTCTAATCCTACTAAAAGAAAAAGAGTTTCTTTCAGTCACTTTGGTAGGGTAATCATGTAGGGTAGATCCCAGAGAGCAATTTATCCAGGAAAATATACTGAATTAAGAGAATATGGCCTTAGTTCCGCTTCTCCTTTATTTCTGACATCTTCTGGAAACCAGGATGAGCTCAGCCTATCCCTTGTCTGAACTAGTTCCAAGGCAGCTATGAATCTCTAAATTTGGAGGCCATCTCCTCTGACCCCTGAAAAAGCCAGGGTTACTATGTGGTTCCCACTAGAGGTCTGAACCCACTCCAGGACGAAATCAGGGTTCTGGTTTGGTGGAACTGACATTAGCCCTCTGGGATGGCGACAGAACTCCCTTGAGCAGTTCTCAGGGGTGGTTTAGAAGCGCTCAAGGATAGGTGGGCTCTCCTGGCTTCATGAAAATATAATGGACCTTGTGGGACTTTTGTCTTCCTAGATCCTTGAAGGTCTTAGGGTAGGGTTATTAGGTATTATCTGGCCACATATATTTGCCATACTGAAAGACCCTTCTGAAGTACCACTATTCATTTTCGGTTCAACAAAACCACACTTCAAAGATTCTGAAGAAATCTTTAATCATTTCACTTATACAAAAAGACAAGGGTCTTCAGATGGCTTTGTTAAGATGCAGGATTGATAAGCACAAACTTCAACCTTCCACACGCTGTCCAATTTACCTTTTTCAACCCTTCTACCTGGTGCAACTCAGCTTTGAGCAGAGAGGCGGTATCTTTTTCTTGTTGCAACTCTTTCTGAAGAGCTTGCCTTTGCTCTTTTTCTGATTTCAGCTCTCTCTCGAGACTTGAGCTGTTTTTAAAAAAGGAGATGATTTTAGATGGAAATTGTTATATTATGGAATACAATTCAAACCTTGGACTAGTGTAAGCCAAAGGGAAAGTCACTTGAAGTCTTATTTCTTGAGCTGGGAAGTTTTATTTCTCATTGATCCTTCTAATTATTCCACTTTCCCCCAAAACTTATAGCTTCTATAACCTTCACCAGTGAGAAAACTAATGGCTTTCTATCATCAAGTACGAAAAAAGGGTAAAGAAACCATTACGCTGACCCTGGAATCTAAAGAGAAAAACTGAGAACACCAGTTAGAAAGAAGCAAAAAGGTAAACCTCAGAGTTTTTAGATAGGAAGTAAGGTAGTTTTGGGAAAGAGAGGAAAACCAATACTCTGATGAAAAGGAAACTTCTTGAGTTCATTGTTTTATTTGCTTTATGTACTACTCTTCAATGCCACTTAAAAGAGAAGCCACTTTTGTGCTGTGCACTAGGATATGAGCTCTGGTAATGGTAACTTTGAAATTCAGGGAGTAATTGTTACATCACAACTAGACAGATGCCTGTCATTGCTCCCAGGGTCCATGCTCCCTTCCCCCACCCCTTCCCCCTCAATTAAGCGGTAGCAGTTGGGGATTATCCACCATTGTTTGTCCAACTGGGACAGTTGCTGTTGCAGGGTTTCAACTTTGCCACCAAATTCTTGCTTCAGTTTGTTGTTTCTCTCTTCAGCCCTCTGCCTGGCCTTTTCAGAGTGCTGTAATCTAGGCCAAAATATGAAAAGATATACGTGTCTAACCCAGCATTAAGAAAATATAAGAAGTAGCATTAAGACTCAGCATCTTATAAACACTACTCTTCTGCCTCTTCTAGTCAGTTCTGAGTCTAAACACTAGAGACAAGTGGCTCAGAGCAAAGGCCCTTTCACAGCCCCAGTTCTCAGTATCATTAAGGACATATATAAAACCCTCAGGCTTTTGGGGCAAGGTCAATCCTTCTCTACTTAACAGAATTCAAGTATCAGTCTCTACAAGAATAGGTAAATTTTACTTCACAGAACTAGAAATCTCCAATTTCACAGAATTCCAAAGAGACTTTCTAGTAAACATCAGGTGATATTCATTACCTACCTCTCTTCCATTTCTTTCATGGCAGACATTACTTGACTGGTTTTTCCTTCATAAGATGTGATTGCTTCATTCTTCTGTTGTAAACAGCTCTCTGCATTCTAGATAGGAAAAAGTTAAATTCAGAGAATTAAATGAGATAACGTATACATTTATCCATTGTGTTGTAAATGATAAAATGTTAGATGTCTGCTATAATCATAAGTATTAACAGTCTATAAGATGTCAGAGAATCAACTCAAATCAAAAGCTTTGGAATGCCTACTTAATTATTCTTAATGTCTTATTTTCCTATCCCTTTAAAAAGTATATCATTAATTGCTGAATGTCAGAGTCCTGGCAGATGTATGAGCAAATCTCAGTTTTACAGATAGGAAGGGATGAAGGAGGAGGCTGGCTCAAGGCCATAGTCACCAAAGGTTATTTTGGTCCTTTGCTTTCACCACTAGAGTGCACTCTCCTCTTTGGAAACTATAAACTCAAGAGGCTTGTTTTAATTGAGGAAAAAAAAACACCAAAGTAACATAATTAAGCACTTTGGTGGAAGGGAAAGATGGTGAATCTAGGGTATGGGAACGTGGCCTTTCAAGAGTATTTATGAGAAGTAAGGAGGGGAGATTTTGTCAAAGAGTGGGACTCACACACAAATACATTGAGGAGGCTAAAGAAACAGTCACTATGGCAACTCTCAGGGCATTCTTTTATTTGAGTCTCAAGTCACAGAATGGGCAGCTGGATGATAAGTTGCTCAAAGAGACTTGAACTAAACAGGCTGAACTCTGACTTCAGTTCAGAAAGAAGAAAAGGAAGGAACTAGTAATCCCAGAATGTCTCACTTATGCGCCCATGGTAAGAATCCATGCAGAGGACTCAAATACAACTAAAATTAGAGGAAGGGTAAATCTACCACAATCTGTTAACTAGTATTGTTTATGTTAAACATTCTTTATGGCAATTTCTTTTTCATTTTTGGAGAAGAAATTTCTATAGCTTTAATACATATGCAAGTGTAAAGAGGTATTCATTTAACAGCTAACATATTAACAGAATTTACGGGAGATAACAGGAAAGATCTGGGCCCTGAATGATCACTGAAACATGTTCCTGGAGAGACATTTCTAAATCTTTGTGGCTCAATAAACTAGTACTGATTCATTTTACAGTGATGTCTCTAATACTAGAAAGAAAGGAGAAAAGAGAGAGACAAAGAAGAAAAGGAGTAAAAAAAAGTCCTGGTTCATTAGCATTGTTACTATCAGTGTCTTTGACAAAGATATTAAAGGAAGTGAAAGAGGAACCATAACGAAACATGATTTTACATGGTTATTTATATAATAGAGTAGGAAGTAAAACTTTTAACAAATAGCAGTGTTTTAGAAAGGATAATTCTGAAATAACTGGATCAACATATGAAGCATGTAAGCAAGACAGGATTATTTGAAGTCAGCACAATTCAGTGGACAATTTGCATGGTTTCCAGCTAATCAAAGCATAGTTTTCTCAGCAAAGGTATGCCTGCCATTTCTGAAACTGACACCACCCCTCACCACCCCTCACTGCCCTCCACTTCTTCTCCTCGGTCACTTTGGGTGAAGAGAGGGAAAGGCATATAGGAGGGCTGTGTTGGGTATGTTTTACATAGAAGAAAAGCTTAACATGGATTGAAATGGAAAGATTTGGAAACCAAACACTAAGTTAATAAAAATCAACTTATATGTGATTGGTACTGAACAATCAGAATTCGAAGTAGAAGTGAACAGACCAAGGAGAGAATAAAAGAAGGCATGTTTTAAGATACATGGCAAAGAGCAAAGAAAAAGGACATCTGACAAACTGAGTTCCAAGTCACTCTGCGGTACATGGATGTACTGACTTCATACACAAAGCTGATTTCTACCTGAGCCTTATGAAACATCTGCAAGTTAATTGCTTTGACTTCCTCCAGTTGTTGGCGAAGAGCGACTAGCGCGTCTTGTTTTTCGTGTGTGTCCTTTTCTAGCAGTTTCATTGCAATCTCCATCTCTGCCTTCATTCCAATCTGCAGCTCCAGTTCTTTTTCTAGTTCCTTAGGAGGAAGACAGTCACAAGGAAATCACTACTCTACATGTATCACAGTAAATCATCAGCTTAACTTTTGCATGCTGCCCTTCTTGGTCAGTGCCAAGGACATTAGAGCTTAATACTGTAAACATTGGTTGTGTTTCCATGTCCACCGTAAAGTCAAAACAATCATTATGGAATCACGAGGCTGAAGCAGAGTCAGGAAGGCCATATAAAACACCATGCGCAAAGTTATAATATACTTTCTTCCCATAATGTCTATGTCTGTAAGCAAAACTGGCTCTGCATCATGCCAACAAAACACTAGTGACTGACAAAACAAACCTTACTTTAAAATTTTGCAACTGTGTCTACTTTCCCAATGACTCAGCAGCTGAATACATTCTTGGAATTATGTGCCTAATTATTAAAAATACATTACAGGGATAAGGATGAGTTTCTTCTGCACCTGTCCTAGTGTCCCACACTCACCATTCGCACTCTCTTTTCCTCTTTCAGCTGTTTCCACACATCACTATACATTTCATCCAGGCCTTGTCGGGTTTGTTTGTAGGTCTCAAGCTCTACCTTTGTATCCTGTTTTGTCACCTGTATCAAATACAAATATTACAGTACTCCAGAGAACAATCTTTTGCTCATTTATTTGAATACAGTTACTAATTGGGATGAATGAATTCTAATTCTTTAAAAAAAATTTTTTTGTCAGTCTTTTTTTAGGCAATTGGGGTTAAATGACTTGTCCAGGGTCACATAGCTAGTAAGTGTCAAGTGTTTGGTCTGAGGCTGGATTTGAACTCAGGTCCTCCTGACTTCAGGGCTGGTGCTCTCTCCACCTTGCTATCTAGCTACCCCTAAATGAATTCCTGCCTAAAACCATGATAATTAAATTTTACATTGCAAACTGAAAAAAGAACAAACATTCACAGATTTAATATAATTAGACAACCATTCTAGGTAAATGAATCAAAATGGTCCTGGCTTTTCTGAATTAGCACTTTTAAAGGAGTTATCTGGAAATCTAAACCAATGCAATGTAGGAATATTTCCTTCTAAAGCATTTACTTAGTTATCTTTCCAGCCTCTAGTTAAATCAGGAAAAAGGAGCCATATAAAACCATTCTCCACCCCCACTTAAAAGAGAATGGTTTTAGCATTTTCCTTCACATTTGTTTCCTCTTATAGTGGCCCCCAAAACAATTTGGAAACAAGTTACTCTATAATTCCTAACAGATGAAGTATTGCCAGTGTAATGGTTGGGAGATGCCCTGGGCTGTCTTCCACAAGCCAGAGCACAATTTCCACTGGAGCAACTTCAAGGATACAGTCCTTGTTCAGCTCCAAGAGAAGAGCTTGATGGATAAAAACGTGCTTATTTTCTGTGGCCAGTTTTGTAGCTCCAATTTCTAACCTCTACACTCTTTTCACTTCTTTCCCGGATTAATTCATTTTGTTCTTTTAACTGTCGCTGTTCTTCTTGAAGTGAATCAATCCGATCTGTAGCTGCTGAAAGCTAGTCAAGAAAGGAGAAGAGTTTTAGTGCATACATGAACTACCCATTTAAATCACTGAAACTCACATATGATTTAAGATACTAAGTTAGACACAAAGTATACAAATCTTAGCATTCATATAACAGCAGCAGATCATAGAAATTTAGAACTGAAAAGGATTTTTTCCCTTCAGATGAAGGAAATTACTTAGGCTCCCAGAGCGGAAATAATCTAAGGTTATTTAGCTAAGTTCAGAAACTCTTTTTACTATTATTGTGACATTCACCCTTTTAATTCTTTTTAGAAATATTCTTAGAGGTCAGGGATTGGATTTTAGATCTAAAAGGTTATCTTATATCACAAATGAAAGAGAATGAACTTTGAACATATCTTCTTTTGTCCCATCTGTACGTGTAACTGCCACTAAGCTCACAGAACTGGCAGCTTCTGCTAAAAGGACATTAATTAGTTGGTGTTTTAAAGTAAAAATTTAAGGTTCAAGTGGTAGAACCTGAGTTACCAATGCACGTAGAAACTTGAGGATTTGAAATCTCAGCTAGGCAAGGTTCAGCATTGAGAAATTATTCAAACAGAATAACAAGTAAAAAATACCAAAAACAACCCACCCCTTTATTTACATTTTTAACAGTCGTATATAGAGAAAATGAGGATTACCTAAAGAAAGATAATTTCTTTGATCAGCAGGGAAGGCTTAAAGACCTGCTAGGTATGTTAGGTATAAATACACGAGCCAGCCCTCCTTATCCCTGCCTCAGAATAAATGTAGAGAAAAGCACAACAAGAGAGAATCTGACAAATCTTAGGGCATTTCCCTAACCTTCCCCCCTAACACTGTGATGGTAAGAGTTTCATTTGGGAAGTTCATAAGCCAAATTATGAAAAGGAGTGAATCACTCACACTCGGCATTTAACCCAAACTCCTAGCTGACAAGTAACACGCGTTTGACGATTAGAGAAACTAACTGTGTACTCTTGGCTACAGCCTTAAGACTGGGCTTTATGCATAAGGTCATTTTGTCCAACATAAAACAAAGGGCTTTCAGAATTCTCTTCTTACATTGATAAAGAACGGATAGCAAACATCGTCCACAAGTTATTCTGAATGGTACTTTAACTGGCTAATCTCTTGTAAATTCATCAACAGTCGCAAGTATTTGATCTATACTTGTGCTGAGTAACATCTGAAAAATGGAATATGGGCATCGATCTCCTGAATCTTGTGTTGGCCCCACTGGCCAATGACAGAGTGCCAACCAGTATAAAATTCCCTTTCAATTCCTCTAATTGATGAACTACTGCAAACTGACTAATGATTCCACACTTAATGCATACTTATCAATAAAAATACTGGAAAGCATTTTTCCCAACCCCTTAGAACAGCAGGATGAAGATGCCTAGTCAGACAGGGACAGCTACCTGAAGAAAGGTTCACAAACAGTTGAGAATGCCATCTCCTGCTAAGAGAGGAGACAAGATGGCTATCATGTCCACAAAGGAGTGTCTGCCTGGCAGCTGGTAGAAAACTTTCGCCTCTTCCTCATCCCTTGATCTTCCTGTCCTCTCATTTTCCACTTCCTATGTAAGAGACAAGAGAAAGACCATGCTATGGAGATATTGGTCAAGTCTTGTAATAAATGCTTGTTGACTTGACTTGATTTGAGTTAGTCCCATGCTTCCAAGAGGCAGGTGTTCTGGAGGGTATAGGCTAGGGTATTTGTACCTCTCAACAGATGTCATAACCTCTGGTACAAAGGGTGGATGTACAGTGTACTATCTATAACTATGCCACAAACAGCTCTTCCATTTGGATTAAAGAGCAACAAACAAAAAACGGCCCAAACAGGAAAGCCACAGGCCGTCCACTGAAATCCCACTTTAATGTCTTATTATGGCATGGAGGAGCCCTGAGTTCTTATGTAAAGCTTTAGAAGGCCCTACTAAGCTAGAAAGGCTTCAAGTGTAGATTTGGCCTTAGACTATCACCTAAGGACCAGCCTGGCCTTAGCCAGGAAAGTTTGGAAAGATTCCTGAACCTCAGTAAACTAGTAGGACCTTTTATTTTGTGTGGGTCTAGACCTCTGATTTAATTATGTTTACTGTACACTCATGATGAGAAAATTCCCTCATCAACGCAGATCAACAGCTCTTCTGTAACTTACAGACTTAACAGAATCTTGTAGGGCACTATGAGAGTTTAAATGACTCCCAAGGTCACATGGCTAGAACTCGTCAAAGGAGAGACCTGAATCCTGATCTTCCTGACTCTGAGGAACAAGAGCCATCATAGTGGCCATTGCTAAGGGTGGGACACAGACTCTGGACAGATAAGGTTTTCTAGACAGTAATCCTATGCAGGGCTTAAGGCAATTTTCACCCACTAGAAACTCAGTGACACAGCAACATCATCAACCATTTGTGAAACATTTAACATATATGAAGCTCTGTGCTAAGATGCTCAGACAGGGAAGAGAGGTAAGATATAATCCCCGTCTTTAAGGTACTCATAGTACACATTACATAACATATGCATCAGAAAGCTATACAATAAAGTGCTATTCGAGGTCTGAAAGGGAAGGTGGTTCCTATTATGGAAGCAAGGAAAAAAATCTGAGGTGTCCTGGAGGAAGTAACATTGAAATTGTGCCATAAAAGAATGCAGAGAATTCAGCTGGTGGAGAGGGAGGGACGGCATTTCAGAAATAAGGACTGGCTTCTACAAAAGCATAAAAAAGTATGTGAGCAATATGCATTTTGGGGGGCAGAGAGTCCAGTTTGGTTGAAACAAAGCGTGAATGGAAGGGAGGAATAGGACATAAGGCTGGAGAAGTGGTGTGTAGCACCACATCACAGAGACCCTAGAGAAGGAGAAGAGAAGCCTGAACTTGACATAGGAGGCAATCTGGAGGACTGAAGATTTCTTTTCTCTTTCTTTCCTTCTTTCTTTCCTTCTTTCTTTCTTTCTTTCTTTCTTTCTTTCTTTCTTTCTTTCTTTCTTTCTTTCTTTCTTTCTTTCTTTCTTTCTTTCTTTCTTTCTTTCTTTCTTCTTTTTTTTTTTTTTAGTTTTTAGGCAATTGGGGTTAAGTGACTTGCCCATGGTCACAAAGCTAGCAAGTGTCAAGTGTCTGGTCTGAGACCGGATTTGAACTCAGGTCCTCCTGACTTCAGGGCTGGTGCTCTATCCACTGCGCCACCTAGCTGCCCCAGGACCGAAGATTAATGAGGAGAAAAGTGACGTGCCCAAACCTATCTGTACAAAAACGTACACTACTGCAGTATGGGTGAATGGAAGAGGAGAAAATAAAAAGGGGAAGAACTGTAAGAAAGAGAATGCTACAGTCTGAATGGGTGGCAATAACTGGGCAATGTGGTGGCAGTGTGACTGGGACTGAAGTGGATGGGATGAATGTGTAATCTGTTCTGGAGACAGATCTGGCAAATGACTAGATATGAAAAGTGACGGAGGGTTAAAGATATCCAGATGGTTATAAATATTGTAGGTCAAGTGAATGGTTGTGTGACATAAACACAAACAGTGAAGTAAGAAGACAGGTGGGTTTGGAGGAAATAGACTTTGGTTTGGGGCAGGTTAACTGTGAGATGCTGGTAATATTTATAGGTTGAGAGGACCTGGAGATATGAGTCTGGAGCTCAGAAGAGTTTTCCAGACTAGAAATATCGATTTGGGTGTTATTTGCACAGAGATGACACTTGATGTCACAGATGTAAATGAGACTGCCAGGAGAAAGAATGTAGAATGAGAAAACAGACTGTCCTTTGGGAGGAAAGCTTACTGTAAGGGGTAGAGAAGAGGATGAGGAGCCAATGAAAGAGATAAGATATGGTAACAGATGTAGGAGGAAAACTAGTAGGGTACAATATCTTTTAAATCAAAGAAAGAGGGAGCACCTAGTAGAAATCATAGGGTCGCATTTTTTTAAGAGCTAGAAGGGATGGAGTATCAATAGCTACAGAGAAATAAAGGAAGATGAAGACTCAAAAAAAGCCACCAGCGAATTTGGTGATTAGAGTCATTGGTGACTTTCAGAGAACAGATTCAATAGTGTGTTCAAATCAGACTGCAAAGAGTTGAGAAAAGGAAGAGTAGGTAGTGAAAGGAAAAAGAACAGCTGGTTTAACAGGAAGGAGAGAAATGGGAGAGTAGCTAGCTGGGCTAAAGGATTAAGGGTAGGCTTTCTTCAAAGTGGAGAGATCTGAACATATCTGTAGGCCAATGGGAAGGACAGCTAGGAATAGGAGAGCATCTCTGCAGAAGGAGGAGGTAACTGCTAGAGGAAGATTCCAGCAGATGTGGGGGACAGCTGGGATCAAGTAAATCCTGACAAATCAAAACCATTTCAGATAACTTAAACTTCCAACACTTAAAAAAAAATTATTGTTACAAACCTCTTCTTGAAGTTTTGAATTGGTCTTTTCTAGACAATCTATCTTGGCCTGGAGATCCCCAACAGTGCAGCTGGAACAAAAAGATTAAAGACTGAACCTGCGAGCACACTAAACATTCGCAGCTCTGTATACTCAATCAAGGCAATAATTCTCAACCTTGGTTTTATAACAGCTCAGGATGTTTCCGACGACGGAGAGCAGGGGTGGGGGAACCTGTGGCCTTCAAGCCACACGTGGTCTCTCAAAAGGATTTGCTCCGAAAAATTTGGATTCAGTCAAAAGGCCACAGGTTTCCCACTCCCGACCCAGACTGAAGGGAAGAGTCTTTTGAACCTTCTTTCTCCTCCTCCCCCATCATCTTATTGTTTAAAATTACACAGTTATTTTCTGGAAGAGGCTAAAGCTGGAGTATGGGTTTGAAATCTAACAGTGATAGGGATAGCAAAAAACCAAAAAGTTGTTGCTTTTTCCGACAAGTTTCAACAATGAAAGTAAGTTTATCTGTAAGATACACATAAATTTCATTTACTTGCTACAAATGTCCAAGTATTCTTGACATAATTTTATTTGCTACAAATGGAGGTTACAAAGTTCATCAAACTGATTCAAACGATACAGACAGAACATAGGCCGGCTCTTTCCACTCTAGAAGGGCGTATCTTTAAGATATGGGCTGCCATTCAGATCAGTTTCTGGACTGCTATGATCTGAATAGCAGCCTGAAAAGAAGACACCTCCATGCCTACCATATGTGGGTCTGTATTTGCTTACTATTGTCTATAATTCAGAATAACTGTGTAACTGGGAAACAAATAAAAGACTGAGTGCCTACCCTGAGCTGAAGTTATCTGGCAGAATACTGAAGAATCCATTATTCTGCTCATCTCTCTTTTGAAACTTTCATTTTATGATTTGTAGAACACAACCCAAAAAGACTGCTTGTAAAGGATACTAGAAACTATTTCCCAAGAGGAAATTAAATTACTCAGTTGCACACAACTCAACTACCGGCTATTTCCTTTTGTTTGCAGACTGAAAATATAGAAAGCTAGAAAGAAGCTTCTTCAAAAGAAGTATGAAATCATGATAACATTTCTAGTGAATTTTCTTTGGAAACAAACATCTTGTGAAAGGATAATTAACAATTAAAACTGTAAATTTAGAACAACTTTTCATGAAAAAATTAAAGCAAACTAGAAATTAAAAAAAATACCTTCTGCAATAGTTAAAGCTTACATTTACATAAATGCTTTAAGTTTCACAAAGCACTTTCCTCCTAAAAGCTCTGTAAAGTAGATAATAGTACAAATACTATTATCCTCATTTTACAGATAGAGGAAAAAGATTCAGAGAAGAAAAGTGATTTGCCTAATGAGTAATGAAAATAAAAAAATGACTGAGTCCTACCTTAAGTGTCTGTTAAGCTCTTCGACATAATTCTTTTGATCAAGGACATCAGTAATTCTTTCATGTCTGTTTTTAAAGAAAAGGGATTCCTTAATTTCACTGGTTATTCCTTATCTTCATTCTCTATTCCCCCTCCAAAGACAACTACCTCACATAGACAGCAGCATCTCCAGTATTAGAAAACTACTAAGTCACAATACTTAGAAAGGCTGGAGAACAAGTGTTCATCCTCCAAGCTAATGAATGGTACAGCCAGTAGAAAAAAAAAAGACAGCTGGGGAAGGGAAGAAGCAGAATTAGAATGAATTACTGGTGAAGTCCTATACTTGAGCTGTTAGTAATGAAACTTGCATTATTAAAAAGTCTCAGAAAATGGGATGAAAATTAATACATATAACAGGGTACGAATAAAGTAACTTTTACGGCCAGTGTTAAAAATATTTTCCCTATCCTTTAAGGGCAAATAAAGGAAAGTGAAAGTAGAAAAACCCTACAGGAAAAGTAACAAACTGTGTTCATAAAATACGAAAAAGTGAGAGATGACGTCTATCCTCCCTTAATCAGTTCCATATTTCTACTGAAAAACAGTGACTGTCGTTAACCAGTTATTGAGGTACTCAAAGCCTATATGATTTGATTCCTAAGCTCGTTTCCCTCTGCTTGGTGAGGTTTAGGAGTTGTCATACTACTTTGTCAATGGCCCGTCTTAGACTCAAAGGCTCAACTTGGCCCTCCTTTCAGCAGTGCTGGAAGACTCATGGAGAGGGCTCATCTTCTCATTTGGAATATAAAGCCCAGAAACAGTGATACACCTGGCACCTGCATTTATGAAACAAAAGCAAATAGACGAAAACCACTGGATTTCAATATGTTAGCTATTTGTTTAGTGAAAACTCATTTGTTTCAAAATATGGAACTAGTTCAGTGAGGATCAACATTACCTCAAAACCACCACCAGACATGTTGATAGGGCTTTCACAGATATAAAGGACGTTCACATCCATTATTTCGTTTGATCCTCACAAGAAGTCCGTGAGGTGGGTCGGACAGGGAATACAGAAGACGACCTCAAGAGTTTTAAGACGTTAAGTAATTTGCTGAAGGCCGTCTGGTTAGCAAATGATCAAGTAAGAATTAGAAACCTGGTCATCTCAAGCCTTCTCTGGTGCCCTTTCACAGAGAATCTAGTTCTGCCGCTTCATCATACAGATATGGGAAATGAGACTCAGAGTGGGGGGGCAGTGACATGCTAAGGCAGCAAGTGGCCAAAGGAGGCCTCTAAGGCAGGTCTTCTGCTGGTCCATTGTGCTTTCTACTGCACCCAGGTATTTTGTGCACTACCACAATATTTGCTAGAATTCCATTATAAAGAATAATTGACTGTGTACATACTCTCTGTCACCATCGATATCCTGTACGTCCTTAAGATACAAGGAAAAATCGATCACTCCAACCTGGTTAAAAAAAACACGCACAAAAGTTTAGACAACTCTTTCTACAAAGAAAAGTCCAAGATGGCATTTCTTATTTTCTATGCCATTCATTATCTTCATAATTTAGGCTGAACATTTAAATTCCTGTCCCTTTAAAATAATCATTTCGCCGGGGGTACACAAATTATGCTGACGATAAGGCTCAAGAAATCAAAATATGTCCCGCTGAAGACAACAGCTTCTTTTAAGACAAATGATTTGCATGACTACTCTGGAAACTGATCACAGGTCATGGAGCTGGAAGGGCGCTCAGGAGCCCTTTAGCCCACCCCCTCAGGGAAACTAAGTGATAACAAAACACCCACGTGCAGTAAAGATCCGAGGTGCCAGTTAAATGTAGGTGCTCTAACTCTACAGATTTTGTGGCTTATTTTTTTTCAATGTTTTATACTCAATATATCTTGATTCACAAATTTTCTGTTAACAAAGCCTCACTTGAATGAAGTTAGCCTGGGTGTTAAAGAAGTGGGGAAAAACTTTGACAGTGGCTTATGAAAAAGTGGTAATGGTGCTATCTCTGGCAGAGAACTTCTCATGAGCCAATCAAGGCCATACTCTGGGAACTCTCACAGCAATGGGTGGTAGATTATTTTGAGAGAAGTGAGGATGCTCTGCACATCCCCTGAACAGAAAGGAGTGAAGAACTACAATCTGTCGGTACATTCTCTACTCAGAAGGGAGTCCATACACATATCCTGAGAATCCGCATCACTAGAAGGCATCTTTTTCCACTAATAGAAAAACCACCATAGTAATGTAATCCCTATTAAATGGCTTTATGTTCCAATTTAGACACAGACTAATTTTTTTTTGAAGTTGAGAGTCAATTTGCATTACAGAGTCATAGGATCTAAGCACTAGAAAAAGGGCCTTTTGATGCCATCTCGTCCAAGCAGTACCAAAGAGTCCCTTCCACGACACCCCAGGCATTGGCCGTCCCATAGCTTCTACTAAGGAAAAACTCATGATTCTTCGTACCTGTTTTATTTTGGGGGGAGGGGTGAAGCGGATGGGAAGAAGAGAAAGAAATTATTCTGAATTTAAACACCAAAAAACAGAGCCTTTCTACATACACCGAGCAGGACACAAAAAAGACGGTTCTATATGAAACTGTGAATCTCCATGTCATATTGATTACATTCTCCAAACCTATATACGCAGGCAGCCCATTCTATCTGTGGGTAGCTTTCATTCTTAGGAGGTTTTTCACTTTATCAAGCTAAGTCTCCCTCTCTGGAACTTGTGCCCACTCTTCCTGTTCAGCCCTCTAGGGCTGGCTGTGTAATAAGAAGTCTAATCTCTAATTCCTCTTGTACATGACAACCCTTCAAATACTTAAAAGAGTAACAACTCATCTCCTCTAAATTTATACTAGGCCAAGTATTTCCATTTCCTTTACTGATCTTCATATGGCATGTTCTCTAGTCTTTCTCACATCACAGGCCCTGTCTTCTGGACAGACTCTAGTTTGTTTATGTCTTTCCTAAAGTCTGGTGTCCACAACAGAACACAGTACTCCAGCTGTAGCCAGGCCAGGGTAGAAAAGGAACTATTACCTCCTTATTTCTCCATGCTTTTCTTTTCTTAATGTAACTTAGGAAAGCATTATCTGGTTTTATAAATAAGAAATAATTAATATGCCAGTAACTGTTACAGAGCATATGGAAAACACTTATAACACTGGGCCTATAATTTAAACTTCCAAATCATTATTTGTTCCAAGCATATCCCATCCACGTGCATGTCTTCACAACTATTAATCAACACTGGTTTAACTCAAGCACTTAATCTATAGCAAGAATTCTGTTTCACCTGAGAGTCCAAATCTTCTCCTTTTAAGCAGAGGTTGGCATCGAGAACATTGAGTCCTACCAGCAGACCTACAATTACTGTTCCTTCTTCTTCCATCATCAATGCCTCAGGTTCGTAGAATTCACTAAGAGAGATTGGCAACCACCAAAGTTCTGCTTACTTTACAGCAATAACAGGCAAACTGTATTTAACAATAATGTTGATATTTAGATATGTAAGCCTAACTTGGCAGGCTGGTCTAAAGTTGGCATGCTGGTCAAGTTCTAAAGTTTCCCCAAACTATATTTGTGAATACTTAAACTTGGTTTTCAAAGCTGCCCAGTTAAAGGCACAATACTTATGAATACTTACTGGTTTATAAAAGACACTGGAAACATTAGTTTACCTAGTGATAGGAACTGAACAATTTAGACACTTTTATGAAAACTATTATGACTTTTAGGGAATGATACCCCCCAGAAGAAGATTCTCCCCTCATCTCCCCACCTCAGTACCAACTGGACAAGGGAATTATATTGGAGAAAATTCTTCCATTATTAGCCACAGATGATCAGAAGAAGCAAAAACCAAATATTCTGGTGCAATTTACATAAATACAAATGTCAAAGATGCTTGGGTCCATGCAAAATTCAACATAGCAGACATCACTGATGCTATAAATATAGATTTTATGTCAAATCCTGGGACGTTTCTTCTATCGATTGGTCAAGGTACTGATATCCTCTTGTAAGAAAAGTTTTTTCTATCTCAATTAAAAATGACCATAACTCCTATATTACCTTCTCTAAACCTCAATCATGATTTCTTCAGGTTGTTCATCCCACTAAGGACCAATCATTTTTAATTCTATAATTTAACAAAATATCAAATAGCCATTATTAATACTGACAGCAAATTTTCAGAATGTTACCTGTACTCAATAAATGAAAAGACTTAATACCAAACCACAGCTGTGTAGCAAATGCTATTCTTCAGACAATAACAACAGCTCACATGTCTACAGCAATTTAAGAGATAGAAAAACTTTTTCTTTATAATAGCCCTTTAAGATAAGTAGTGCAGGGGGCAGCTAGGTGGCATAGTGGATAGAGCACTGGCCCTGAAGTCAGGAGGACCTGAGTTCAAATCTGGCCTCTGACTAAACACCTGACACTTATGAGCCCCTGGGCAAGTCACTTAACCCCAATTGCCTTAAAAAAAAAAAGGTTGGTAGTGCAAAGTATTATTCCCATTTTGAAGACAGAGACATTGAAGCTCAAAGAATTTAGATGACTTCCTCAGTGTGACATAGATGGTTAGGTGTGAAAGCCAAGACCAGAACCCGAAGTTTTAAATCATAATGCTATTTCCACAACATTGTTCTGACTCTAAGATTATGCTATAAATATTGCTACTGATGTTATGGTCACAGAGAATTTCTAAGATTAATAATGCTAATCTGAATAGAAACCATAAGTCATAGACTCTTGACTAAAATAAAAATCATTTATAGGGATATTTTTTTAAGGCAATTGGGGTTAAGTGACTTGCCCAGGGTCACTAGTAAGTGTCAAGTGTTTGGTCTGAGGCCGAATTTGAACTCAGGTACTCCTGACTTCAGGGCCGGTGCTCTATCCTCTGCGCCACCTATATAGGGATATTTTTAACCAAACATTAGATAGCTATTAGAAATTTAAAAAATTGTAAGATACCTTAAGAGATGCTTATTATCTATAAGCACTTTCAGATAATCTGCCAATTTCTTTTGCATGAGTGCAAGGTAAAGCCAAGCCCTTCCTCTTCCCACTGCTGTCCTAAAATCAAAACAGATGGATCAAAACACCAGCAAAAAACCCCAAAAGACCCCAAAATAAATTTTATTCATGTTTAAGAAACACAATTAAATAAAAATGTTCCAAAACATACACAATTTTCTCTAGGACCCTGAAAAAATTGTCAGATTCAAATAAAAGGATACAAACATTCTTATAAAATATAAATAAGTAAATGCCTTGAATTTAATCATGGGGCAACAGTTTTATGGCTTGGAAAAAAATATGGGTTGTAAATAGCTACTTCAAAAGAGGAAATTAAACCACATGGGAGAAAAACATCAGAAACAAAACCCTTCCAAAGCAGATTTTAAAAAGTTTATCCTAAATGGTTATTTTTTAACAAACTGGGATTAATATTTGACCCAATTTAGTCTACAAGAACATTGGTAACTACAGCAGTGACACAAAACAAAGGAAAAGGAGAGAAATCTCAATCCAGTTTTCAGATGGATGCAGAGCAGACCAGTGCATAAAATCTGCCTGGCAAGTTCCAGTTTGATGCCCAGCTGTCTGACAGCAAAATAATTTGGCTGAAATGCCACCAGCAAATGGAGTCAGCACAGGACTACTGTATACAGTATACAGCTTCTAGGACTTCTGTCCACATTTCAGAAGGATTTTTAAAAAGCAATAAAATCGCTGCGCTGCCTTAAAGCAAAAAAACCCTCCCCAATACCGTTTCTTAAGAAAACACCTACAACAAGGTGACTGGTAAACTTTTCTTTAAAATGATTGGGACTTAGCTAACTTGATTTCTCAGGCACCTTGGATTTAGAGGATTATACCAAATTTCAATGACTCGTTTTCCATTTTACTGTGGCAATCCACAATAACATATCTGAGTCCCATCAGCCACAACAATCAGCATTAGCATGTAAATCTGAACTTGATCGGGACATATGCTCTATATATTTTAGAGCCTACAATTAGGCCCTTGTTCTTGAATCACAGCTCAGGAACTTAAAGGTCACAATATATCTAATCCAACCCCTTGGTTTTCAGGAGTAACCTGAAGCCTAAGGTAGTAAGCATCAGAGGAAGGAACTGAAGCCAGGCCCTCCGACTCCCGAGCCAGGGCTGTCTGCTGTGCCATATTTCAACCCACCCTCAGCAATCTACTGATTTATAAGATGGAACCAATACGTGTGAAACATCTGTTCCGAAGATTTCAGAGGATGGTGAAATAACATGACAGTGCAGTGTGAACACCTGTACCGGTAAGAAATAGAAGGGCCGCTGGAGATTAGGCTAACCCACTCATTTGACACAGATGAGCAAACAGAGACCCAGAGTGTTGACAGATAAAAAGTGTCCATCTGTCTCAACTCTTTTGAGTGCAGCCTAAATATAGTGGCTGTCCTATTAAATGCATTGTGTTCAGTTGAATACTGTTTATATGCATTAGGAAGAACTCGCAGAAAGACTTAAATTTCTTAGAGGACTGAAATTGTTTTTTTGAACCGAGAATTTGTGTAACTACTTCCCACTCACTTTAACTCTGGCAGATTTTTAACACTAGTGGCTATATCTGATGCTTCCGGACAAAGTTTCTCCACCAACTCCAGGGGACCAAAGAAAGACTTATTTTGGCCAATAAAACTCTTCTTAACTATAAGGGAAAATACAAAATTTTGTTAATAGGGTAAATATTCCTTAACCCACAAAACAAAACTACAACCCACAATGGTATTTTATCTGGTACTAATGGTACTATTTCATAAACCCCTGACTGTCCTGAGTTTTGAGAAACCTTAAGAGATCACCCAGTCACCTGGTGTGCCAGTGCACACCTCTGATTCATAGAGGCTGAAGCTGCTGATGGATCAACTGAGCTGGGAGTTCTGAGCTTCAGTAGGCTAAGCCAATCCATCGGGTGTCCTCTAAGGCTGGCACCAATATAGTGAGACTCCCTGGATGGGGACAGGGCATCAAGATGACTGAGGAGTGAACTAGCTCAGGTCGGAAACGAGTAGGTCAAGCAGTAGTAAGCTCAGGCCTGTGAGTGGCTGCTGCATCTCCAACCTGGCTGATACAGGGAGACTCGATCTCAAAAAAAATAAAATCACCCAGGCCAGCAGATGAGAAAACTGAGATCCAGAGGAAGGAGACAATGGCACCCAAAATCATACTGTGACTTAATGGAAGGGCCAGGACTAGAAGCCAGGTCTTCCTGCTACCTACTTTAGTGTTCTTTCCATTATACCACACTACCTGCTGTAGCTGATATAATTTTTGGGTTGGTTTGTATGTGTAATGGGCAATATGTTGTAAGCAGAAAAATAAACCCCATAAAACAACTATAGCAGCTAAGCGATTCCTAGGCTAATTACTCATATATACAAATGTCTACTGAATGTCCATTTGAAGAGATAGGTACTACAGCTAAACTAATTTTAGAAGAAAACCCTTCCTTTTGTCCTTTCTATCAACATAATTCACCTCTTCAAATCATTCTCCTAAATACTTCAGCCCAAATTCTTATATTCTACAGTACAAGGATGCTCACCTTTCAGGCCATGTTTGAGACAGTGCTCCATCACCACAAAGAACTGTTGCAAAGGGGCGTAGTCTGCATCCAAGCTTCTACCTAGGCTCAGGGCTGACTGGATCAAGACTTTAATACTCAGCTTCATCATATTCATGAGGTTGGAGCGTTCTTCCATCATTTGGCATTTAGCAGCTGTTGAAGAAAAGAAGCGATTCCTTGCTTAGTTTAAGTAGTAAAAAATGAGTTCACCTGGCAGTAAGCAAAACTTAGTTCCATGGACAGCAGGAGTTTGTCTGCATTATATACTTTGGAATTCTAACATATTTACTATGCACATTAAGGACGGGATGGAGCCTAATAGACAATACATTTGCTGAAAAATTATTAGCAAGCTGGTCTGGTTTTACTTTTCCAGTCTTATCTTCCACGGAACCTTCCCATCTCCCCCTACCCCCATCCCACGTTTCTCAGTTTAGAAGTTTGGCAAAGAATTCATTCCCTAAAAACCAAAAACCAGAATAAAAGACTTCTTGTACTCAGCTGGGCTGACCCGTGGGCGCGGTCATCATCACCTCAAGCCGATTTTCAAGCTTGATACAGACTCCAGAGACACAACCTGGAGACCTGCCCCCCCCATCCGCCTATGGAAAGAAACCGTGTAACAAAGACTACGGGTAACAGTAACAAAATCAGATCGCACCCACAAAGTGCTTTTTTTTTTTTTTCAAACAGTTTGACATTTTCTCGCCATGCCTCCAGGGAACCAAGCTCATACCCCATCCTAGGATTTTAAGCGTTGTCAAGAGGCCTTGGAGGTCAGGGAGTCCAACCCCTTCATTTTACAAAGGAGGATACCAAGGCCCGGAGAGGTGGCGGGGGAATGATGTGCCCAAGATCCCGATAGGGCGCCGGCTTCTCTCCCGGGCCCTTGGGCTTCCATACTCGCAGCCCAAAGGGGTCGGCCTCTCCTTGGGCCCGGCCTCCTCCTGCCGGGTCCTTCTAAGCTCTCCAGCTCGCTCCCACCCCACTCCCTGGGCTTCCCGCCCGCCAGGCGCGCTGCAGAGGCCCAGGGGACAGGGCCTGGACGACGGCCCCACCACGGGACCCCAAAGGCCGGGGGAGGGGAAAAAAAATGGTCAGTTACCCCGGGGGCTTCTCCCCGGCGGCCAGAGAACGTTGCCTAGGAGACAGCCTCGCGCTCTCCACGGACTTCTCGGGATTGGATATCCAGCCCAGCGGCCTTACTGTCTTAACCAATGAAAACACAAAGATTCGCGCACGACGCGCAAGACGGCCCAATCCAAGGGTCGGGGAGGGACATCATCCCACCTCCAATTCCCGGGGCGAGACGGCCGAGAAATGCAAATACGAGGACTACGCCCTTCTCGCTGCTGGAAACCCCCGCGAGTCTCGCGAGACAAAGTCGGGGAGACGCCATTTTACATTCTCCTCCGACTTCAGTCTTGACATGGTGCCTTCCCGCGCTGAGAGGGCCCGGGCGCTTCAGGAAGGGGCGGGGCGGGGCGGCCATTGCGTTCCAGGGTTTCGGAGCTGAGGGAAGATTCCGATCCCTAGATCAGGCCGCCAGTGTCGCGGCGCTGGCTCACCTCCCTTTAAGCCTGACCTCCGTTTGACCGAAAGGGAGCCCAGGCTTGGAGGCTTCGTCAAGGCCTAGTGACCAGGGGTCGGCCTGACGGGCGCCACCCCGGCCGGGGCCGGGGGTTCTGACGTCAGCAGTGACCCTCTCTCCCCCCCCCAGGTCCTCTTCTGACACCCTCGCATTAGCTAGGAACCCCCCAGACTCCACTCTTAACTGTCTCAGCCCTGGCCGGGCACACAGCAGGCGCTCAGTGTTAATTGAACAAGCCTTAGTGTCCTCATTTGTTAAAAGAGGGGGGTTGGGCTGCATGGCCTCATGGGTCCTTTCCAGTTGTAGATCTGAGCCCCCTCTCTCGGACAGCCAGTCAGCTCCAAGCTCAGCATTGTTTCGACAGCTTTCCCTTAGCTCTGTAACATCCTGCTCCTCCAGTTCTCATCTAGGGTCATACATTTAGCACAGACCTCTTCTGGAAGGAAAGAAACAAGCATTTGCTGAATACTTACCATGATACTGATGGGGTGCTTGGATCTCAATTTTTCCCTAGCCTCAGAAACACTATCCCTGGCAGTTTCCCTCCAGCCCAAAGACCCTGTCTCTGGCAATTGCTCATGAGTGGGCCCCAGCAAGACCCCTCTCTCCATCCCTGGTGCATTAAAAGCTGGATGAGAGAGTGATGGGCTGCTCTCAGCCCTAAAATCATGTCTCTGGAAGCCTCCCACTTTCTTAGTAAGCTCTTGTCCTGCGAGAAAATTTTCTCTTGTTACAGAGCATTCTCTAATCAGGACACAGAGAGTGGGATACCTGGCCCAAGGATTTTTGTCCTGGGTGGCCCAAGGACTTTTCCTCCAGATTCCTAAGATCCATGCTTCTGATGTCTCCCTCCCTGTCTGGTATACTCCCTACACTTTCCCATCCATAGCTCCCAAAGACACCTGGACCTCTAGATTACCTAATTAGTATCCCTGGCATTCCTTTCCCATGCTCTTTTCCATATAAACTCCAGCACCATCCTCAGTCTCTCACAGGTTCCTTAAGAATCCTTACTGAAAAGCATAACAGTAAATCTTTGCCAACTTGACTCAAAGAATGCTTGAGTCTGAATTCATTTCAGACCACCCAGTCCTGCACTCTGGTCTTTGAGGGGTCTCACCCTCTCAGACATTTCCACTAACTGAAGGGCCACATGGGGTCCCAATTCCTTGTATAATTCAGCTCCTCTCCTCTCATTAATAAAACAGCTATATGGATGTTTCAATTAAACTACTTGATCATCTTGATCTGGCAAGAGATTGTTTTAAATAGGGAAGGTGAACAGGAAAAGGAGTAAGTATATAGTACCTACTGTGTGCCAGGCACTGTGCCAGTCACTTTAAATGGTATAGTGCAAGGGCTGGATGAAGAGAGATACTTGATAGAAGCACATGGGTTGGAATCTCAGTTGAATAATTGTAAACTCCAAGCAAGTCACTTTACCTTTAGTCTGAGTTTTCTCATTCTTAAAATGATGGGTATGATTAGATGTTCTTTAAGGTCTCTTCCCCTTCCATTATTTTAAGATTCTTTTAGCATGATTAAGAGACTAGGTTTTTGTGATAGTGATTTCTGAAACTGCTTCTACCTTAGCCTGGTATTAAAGGACTGTTAGAGGGAGTCATACAATCGCAGGCTGAACTGTGTCCTTACTGCTAAACAGTCAGCATCTTTTATGGGGGAGGTGGAATACATTGTATGGGATATGGTAAGTAGGACAATTTGGCTGGAATGTAGAATGCAAGAGGCCATGTGGACAAGACTTATGATTTCAGTAACAGTGAACTCCCAGGGAAGGAAATATTATTTATAAATTGCCCAGATTAACAGTAGAGGAAGTAAAATACTTAAATAACTCATCTCAGAAAAAGAAATTGAACAAGCCATTGATGAACTCCCTAGGAAAAAATCTGCAAGGCCAGATGGATTTACAAGCGAATTCTATCAAACATTTAAAGAACAATTAATTCCAATATTATATAGACTATTTTGGAAAATAGGTGAAGAAGTAGTCTTACCAAATTCTTTTTATGATACAAATATGGTACTGATACTTAAACCAGAAAGAGTCAAAATAGAGAATGAATATTATAGGTCAATTTCCCTAATGAATATAGATGCAAAAATTTTAAATAAAATATTACCAAAGAGATTACAGCAACTTATCACAAGAATAATACACTATGACCAGGTAGGATTTACACTGGGAATGCAGGGCTGGTTCAATATTAGGAAAACTATCAGCATCACTGATCATATCAACAACACATGATCATCTCAATAGATGCAGAAAAAGCTTTTGACAAAATACAGCACCCATTCCTATTAAAAACACTAGAGAGCATAGGAATAAATGGAGTCTTCCTTAAAACAATAAGTAGCATCTACCTAAAACCTTCAGCAAGTATCATATGTAATGGGGACAAGCTAGAAGCACTTCCAATAAGATCAGGGGTGAAACAAGGTTGTCCATTATCACCACTGTTGTTCAAAATCGTACTGGAAACGTTAGCTTTAGCAATAAGAGAAGAAAAAGAAATTGAAGGTATAAGAATAGGCAAAAAAAGAAACAAAGCTATCACTCTTTGCAGATGATATGATGATATACTTACAGAATCCTAGAGAATCAAGTAAAAAACTACTTGAAATAATAAACAACTTTAGCAAAGTTTCAAGCTATAAAATAAACCCACTTAAATCATTGGCATTTCTATATATTACCAACAAAGTCCAACAGCAACAGATAGAAAGAGAAATTCCATTTAAAGTTACTATAGACATTATAAAATATTTAAGAGTCCAACTACTCAAACAAACTCAGGAACTATATGAACACAACTACAAAACAGTTTTTACACAAATAAAGTCAGATCTAAATAACTGGAAAAACATCAGCTGCTCATGGGTAGGCCAAGCTAATACAATAAAAATGACAATTCTACCTAATCTTATTTACTTATTCAGTGCCATACCAATCAAACTACCAAAAATTATTTTATAGTTAGAAAAAAATATTAACAAGATTCATTTGGAATAACAAAAGGTTCAGAACATCAAGGGAACTAGTGAAAAGAAATGCTAGGGAAGGTGGCCTAAGCCGTTCCAGATCTTAAACTAGGAGAGCAAGGAATAGTTTACCTATAAGATTTATGGAAAATAGAAGAATTCATGATCAAACAGGAGATAGAGAACATTATGAAATGCAAAATGGATAACTCTGATTACATTAAATTGAAAATTTTTTGCACAAACAAAGCCAATGCAACCAAGATTAGAAGGAAAGTAGAAAATTGGGAAAGAATTTTTACAACCAGTGCCCCTGATAAGAGCCTCATTTATAAATATATAGAAAATTAAGTCAAATTTGTAAGAATATAAGTCATTCCCCAATTGATAAATGGTCAAAGGATATGAACAGGCAGTTCTCAGATGAAGAAATTAAAGCCTTCTAGAGTCATATGAAAAAGTGCTCTAAATCACTACTGATTAGAGAAATGCAAATCAAAACAACTCTGAGGTACCACATCACACTTATCAGATTGGCGAACATGACAAAACAGGA